AAATTCTTCTAAGGCATGCAGATTTGCTCCTGTTCCCACGTGAATCGCAGCAGCTCTCCACCAGAGTGCCAAGGTTTCTTGTTCAGAACAAGAAAACCTCATGTTCTCTCTTTTATTTTTTTCGAATATTAAATTCGATTGCCCAACCTGAAGCAACCTTTTGCCTTCAAAGCATGAGAGACCATCCCTGTAGGTGCTTGGGGTTTCCATTAGAGCTAAGCCACGAACAGATGAGCCCATCAGAGTGTTTTTAAATAGCTAATGTAAAACCATTGTCACTTTTTAAGGAGAAGGTAATTTAATTGGTGCTGTTGTTCAACAACAGGCATGCCGCAAGTTTCGGGATGACGCCACGTGCAAGGATACGTGTCCCCCATTGGTCCTGTATAACCCCACCACTTATCAGATGGATGTCAACCCCGATGGAAAATACAGCTTTGGAGCCACTTGTGTGAGGGAATGTCCACGTAAGTTCATTTCAGGTTGCAGCCACAGAGGAGGTGGGGGGGTTGGAGGGAGGTGGGATGGGATCTGTGTCATCCCTCTGCATTATGGCCAAGTGCAAGGGCACTTTCTTCTTGTTCTCAGCTTCTGTGGGAGCTGGGAACAGGTGGCAAAAATGAGACAATAGCTGGTAAAGAAGAAAGCTTCTTCAAACTGGCTGCATCCATCACCTTCCCTGATTTTTAACCATAAAATTTTGACTTCTCAAGATTTTTCTCTTGATGGGGGAAAAAAGCATCTTATGAGAATCATCAAAACAACAGCCAAACAAGTCATATGGGATCAATCCTGTGGATTACCAAGCATTATCGACTCTTAACTGGTTCTTAATTTGCACTGATAGAAAGTAATTGGTTCAAACACTGCCTCTCAAGGCCAGTGATCATTGCTTCCTTTACAAATACTTGCTTTTGCTTTCGTGCTATTCCATGTCCTGCTTTTTAACCTGTCGAGATTTCTGTGTAAGAGAGGGTTTAGCTTACAGAACTGATATCCCTTTCTGAGGTTGAGCATTGGCCTGCCTGGCCCTTAGCCTGGAAGAATGAGTGAAGGTGAGGGATCAGAGGTGCCGTGTATTGATCCTTATTATGGCACTGCTGCACAGCCTTACCTTGGCAATGTTGTTTTATCCTTCGGTGACTATTCCCCTCTCTGTACAACGGTGATAGCATTGTATGTCTGTCTGCCTTCAAAGGATGTTTGTGAGAATTAATAATTAATACCTGTACTTTGCTAAGCATGCCAAAAGTTCAAAACCCCTTTTTCTTCCTAATATTGAAGTGCACATGCAGCACCCAACACACCCCTGTCATATTTCAATGAACTTTGTATCCTTGTTTTTTCCAGACAACTATGTGGTGACAGACCACGGCTCCTGCGTTCGCTCTTGCAATACTGACACTTATGAGGTGGAAGAAAACGGTGTTCGGAAGTGTAAAAAGTGTGATGGGCTATGCAGCAAAGGTATAAAAAGCATGGAATAAACCAGTAAGGCTTTGAGATGATAGGTAACTTACTAGAAGTAGTACATGGAGTTCTGACCTTAATTAAGTGCAAATTCAGCATAAATGTCCAGTGATGGTTTGGAGATCTGACAAGTGGTTTGATCAGGAAACATGGCTGTGGAACACGCTCTCCAACTGGGATACACCACAAGTACAGTAGATAAACTGTGCATCATGTGCATGTGTAGCTTGCACATTAGCCGCCTTCTTCGTTTGTACTTCCCAGTATCTCATCAAGGGGAATAAAATGAAAATGGAACAAAGAGAAAGAAGGGCATGTGCCAGAGCCTGTGTACAGAGATGCTCAGACCAGAGCTTCACAGCTGGGCAAGCAGGAAACATTTCTCCTGTGGTGCTTTCTGAAAAGCAAAAGTAGGCAAAAGATCCATGAAACTCATCTTACAGTGCTAGGTTTCACCATATGGGAGTGCTTTCTGGACTAATGGCATCTCCATGTTTATTACCTTCGCGTGTTTTGGCTTTACTCTTCTCCCCCCTGACTTTTGTATCTTTCTTTTAACAGTGTGCAACGGCATCGGAATAGGTGAACTTAAAGGCATCCTCTCCATCAACGCCTCAAACATCGACTCCTTCAAAAACTGCACCAAGATCAACGGAGATGTCAGCATTCTTCCAGTTGCATTTCTAGGGTGAGTTGCCCACTGGTTGTTTAGCACTGGAGAAGAAGGGCTAGGGAGAAATTCAGGCTGAGCCATTCTTTTTCCAATTCCTCCTTCTGTGTATTTCAGTGATGCCTTCACGAAGACCCTACCCTTGGACCCCAAGAAGTTGGATGTCTTCAAAACAGTCAAAGAAATATCAGGTCAGCAATGGGTTTTAAGCTGGGATGTTCTCTGATTGGTGCTGCCAAAAACACAAAGGGAGAGGAGGGAAATTCCTTAAGCGCGAGAAGAGAAGTGCAAGCGAATGGTTTTCTGTCTCTGAGCTACCAGGGGTCACTCTTCACAGAGGTGGTCAGCAGCACTTCGCCAGCATTACGCCCACGTAACCCATACTGCTCTCCCATTCAAGGTGTGTGGTTTGGCCAGACCATCCCTTCTGCTGAACTGTCGGCCCTAGCAAAGAGTAAAAGCAGAGGAGATCCTCAGCCACCCAAGAAGTATGTGGTGATGCAGAGGCGTGCCACTCAGGCTAAAAAAAGCCAAGTGTGTTTCTATTTGGGGAAAACCTTTCAGCAGCTCCTTAGGGAAGCGTGCTCAGTGGCTTGCGTCATCCTCGCGGAGACACCCCCTCCAGCCTGAAGAGCTCTTCCTTGGGGTGAATGTGTCTCCACAAGCACAGAGCAGCCAGCGGAGCGCTCAGCCACCGTCTTGCACCAAGTATCAATTAAAAGTAATTTTGTTCAGCCCATTATAAAATGAGCATAACATCAGAGCTGGGTCCACAGGCGTCACTCCAGTTCTCCCTTTCTTTCTCCCTTTTACCTGTCTGGTTCCCTTCAGGGTAGCAATGACTAACCCCAGAACTTCATACTGCAGCCTACAATTTCCCAAATTCTCCTCCTCCTCCTGAGTGCCTTGGCTGAGCAGGGAAATCTGCTTGCCTTAGCAAATCCACACTGAGCGGCTGTCCGTTCTGCTCCGTTTCTGCTTTCTCTTCAGTTTTCATGTTCCCTGAGGGCAGCTCATGAGTGGGATGAAGCGATGCCTTTCTCCCACAGCACCAGAGCCTGCAGCCTCTCAACCAGGGTGTCTGCTGGCAAGAGCCGTCATCACTGCTTGGCTCAGTGTAGCAGGATGTGCAGCTCACCGACACACTCATCTCTTGCACTCCTAAGCCCTTGTGGTGGGCTAAGAAGTAAACTGTTTATAAAAACGGGGTTTAAAAATATCTCCCTGCTCCCTAAAATGTCATGTTTCACTTTGAGATTCTCAGATAAGCATAGGGATAGCACAAGCACCTTCTACTGGCACAGGAGGAGCTCAAGGAGGAGGTTCTGCTGCCAATACTGACCATGGTTTTATTATTATTTTTTTTTTTAATCTTCTTTTCTTCCTCTCAGGATTTTTGTTGATTCAAGCCTGGCCCGATAATGCTACTGACCTCTATGCTTTCGAAAATCTGGAGATTATACGAGGCAGAACCAAGCAACAGTAAGTAAATCATGTGCCAGAGCGACGGTAAAAGAAACCCCATTTAGAGCTGTGTTTGTCTGAGCACACCAAGGTACCAAGCAGTGAGACGCGGGTGTCCCCAAACGGATGCAAAATGGGAAAAAAGTCTGCGGGGAATCGAGCACCACCTTTGTAGCAGTAGATAATGTGCCCTGGGAGGATCAAACCTGCAGCTCTGTGCTGGGTGTAGAGGACTGTGCTGACCCTGCTTGAGGACCAGGGTCTCTCCCCCACATCATTTACTTGACAGAGCGCACATGCCCTGCCAGTTTTAGCTTAAATGCCCATACAAAACCAAATATGAGTGTTGCAGTTGTTTTATTGTCATGTACCAGGCATTAAGCTTAGATGGCCAAGCAATGTCTTGCTTGAACAAAACTGAGTTTGCAGCAACACACGTTTGAAAACCAAAAGAAAAATGTGCTGAGTTAAACCCTGCTTACTAATTCTCTTTTGTCTGTGTTTTTTTCTTTTTCTCCTTGTCCATTTTAGTGGCCAATATTCCCTTGCTGTTGTTAACTTGAAAATACAGTCCTTGGGGCTGCGGTCCCTCAAGGAAATAAGTGACGGAGATGTTGCCATTATGAGGAACAAGAACCTCTGCTACGCTGACACCATGGACTGGCACAGCCTGTTTGCAACTCAGAGCCAGAAAACAAAGATTATACAGAACAGAAATAAAAATGATTGTGGTAAGTCAACACTGCGTTCCGGCCCACTGTGGAAGCTTGTGCTAAAATGCAAGAGTAATTTGAGCAAGGTTTTTTCTCTCTGTTCCCCTGGCTCCAAAATTCATCAGTGATCCTGCTTTAATGAAGGTGCTGAGGGGAAGTCAGATTTTTTTCCCACCAAGGGTGTGGACTTCATGGTGTCCAGCAGATGGGAAGGAGCTGCTTCACCACTATGGGCGTAGTGAGGCCGCTTAGGTTGAAGGACACAGAAGCTACCTCCAAACACTGGACTTTTTTGAGAATGTGGAAGCTGTTGTTCAGCCATGCTGCTGTTGACTGCCGGAGTCCCTGGGCCAAAATCTAAATATTTCTTTTTGCAGAATATGAATTTGTTGTATTTCAGAAATTGATCATAGAATCACAGAATGGTATGGGTTGGAAGGGACCTTCAAAGATCATCTAATCCAACCGCCCTGCCATGGAAAGGGACGTCTTTCACTAGACCAAGTTGCTCAAAGTCCCGTCCAACCTGATCTTGAACACCTCCAGGGATGGGGCATCCATAGCTTCTCTGGGCAACCTGTTCCAGTGTCTCACCACCCTTCTTGTAAAGAATTTCTTCCTTATGTCCAATCTAAATCTACTCTCAGTTTAAATCCATTGCCCCTTGTCCCGACACTACAGGTATTGCTAAAAAGTCTCTCTCCATCTTTCTTATGTGCCACCTTTATATATTGAAAGTGTCCCAATAAGGTCTCCCCAGAGCCTTCTCTTCTGTAGGCTGAACAACCCCAATTGTCTCAGCCTGGTACTGGTTTAGCTTTATTATACGACTGTTAAGCTGTCCCAGAGGAGCTCATTCTTACTTTGACTGGCCAGAAGTCATTCTTAATTCCAGGCTTCAGCAATTAAGAGAAGTGGGCATAGTCCTCTTCCACACTGCCAGAACCATTCACATCCACTTTGGAACAGGTTGGAGAAACTGACTGGTGAGGATGGAGTCACTTGCAGTGCTGTGTTTGCCCTCTCTCCTGCCTTGAAGTTCATGGCTTTTTCTTCTTGCCTCTCTTTCTCTCCCAGCTGCTGCCAGGCACGTTTGTGACCCCCTGTGCTCAGACGTGGGCTGCTGGGGCCCCGGACCCTTCCACTGCTTCTCCTGCAGGTTTTTTGATCGCCAGAAGGAGTGTGTGAAACAGTGCAATATCCTGCAAGGGTAAGGTGTCTGGGGGGTGCTTGAGGTTTTGGCGGTGATTTGGGGTTTCAGAACGTGTTATAGGTAGGAAGAAAAGATTTCACCAGCTTCACACGGATGTTGTGCAAGCACAGTACGTAAAAAGAGGGAAAAGCTGGGAGCTGAGGTAGCTTCCCTGTTCAGCATTGCTTAAGAGTTTGCTCCTGTCACGGTGACTGCCGTGAAAACATAGACTCATAGAATGGTTTAGGTTGGAAGGGACCTTGAAGATCATCAAGTTCCAACCCCCCTGCCATAGACAGGGACACCTCCCACTAGACCAGATTGCCCAGGGCCACGTCCAGCCTGGCCTTGAACACCTCCAGGGATGGAGCCTCAACAACTTCTCTGGGCAACCTGTTCCAGTGCCTTACCACCCTCAAAGTGAAAAATTTCTTCCTAATGTTTAATCTAAACCTGCCCTCCCCTCAAGCCCACGAGGAGACTATCTGGAGGCCCAAGGAGGGCCTTGCGCTTCCTTCCCCTAAGAAATAAAGGAGCTTAAAGCCCAGGTGAAAATCCAAGCTATGCCTGTCACATCAAGCACATCGGGCAAGAGGCAGAGCCAGTTGCAGTCACCGGGAGTTCAGTCACCCCCGGAGCCAGGGCTTCGCTGCCCAGTAGGCTTCCGTACTGCAAAGGGACTCTCATGTTTGCTCAAACGAGCGGCTCGCCCTTGCAATTTGCAAAGTTGCAGTCAAGAGAGTATCAGAAAAGCGCTGGCAGCAGCAATTTCAGCCAAAATGACTGCCTCCAGCTTCGCTCAGGCCGAGGAAAATGTATCGCTGCCTGTGCATCAGGGCTGCGGCCGGGTCTTTCATTCAATTCAACAGGTGATGTAGGCGGGAAGGGCATGGCGAGCACCCAAAATTACAGGGATTTTTCAGTAAATCTTTCAAAGTTTGACTTTTAAAAATTGTGAGTATTAAGCAAGTACTTCACAGGGTGCTGATGCCCCTGATGCTTGTATTTCTCTAGCAACTTGCAGTTCAGCAGTTGTCTTTTTTGTAAGTAAATTGCCTCCAGCAGCTATTATGACCTGAAGGGCAGATCTGGGCATTTTTTGTGTCAAATGATGGGTAGATTGAGTTTAATTAATAATACCATTACTTGAAGTGGAACAGCTTTATTGCTATTGAAACCATCTGCTCCCAACTTTCATATTTTAATGATTCATTGTGTGTTGTAGGGAGGGCATGAATTTAATTATCAGTGCATTGCTGTTTAACTTTGCTAATTATTATGTGGAGCCTTGGAATCACTTAAACTGTTTTTGCTGATCTCTTTGCATCACTACCATTTAAAAGCCTTTGGAAATCATTACGAATATTCTGTGTCGTTAGCTTAAAAGGGAAAGTAAACTAATTCGTAGTGTGCAATCTGGAGTGCCATGTGTTTCACCGTCAACCAAATTTCCCTTACTCTTACCTCCCCCTTGTTGCCCTGAGCAAGTGCTACTGGTGTAACTAGGAGGGTCCCCCTGTACCTCCCCCTGTCTTAGTACCATCACCCCAGTCTAAACTAGAAAAGACACAAAAGGAGAGGCGACCACAATTATCAGTTGCTAATCAGCCTGGGTTTTAGTTATTTCCCTTTCGTTTTCTGTTTTGCAGGGAGCCGAGAGAGTTTGAAAGGGACTCCAAGTGCCTCCCCTGCCACCCCGAGTGCCTGGTGCAAAACTCCACCATGTACAACGCAACCTGCACTGGACCGGTAAGAGCAGATTCCGCTTAGCAAACCTGCGCCTTGGGCTGTGTATTATTTCCCGTGTTGAGATAACCCTGAGGTCCCATTTACCCTTCTCCTGGATCAGGCGGAGATGGGGGGATTAGAGGGCAAGATCTGGGGTCAGGGGAGCAGAAACAGGAGAGGGAACCTCAGGATATTATTTTTCTTTCATGTCACCCATCATACGTGTAATCCACAGCCACAGACGTTGTGGAGGACTTTCTTTTTTGTGTTTTTTTACCAAAGGAAAAACATAAGGCTTACTTACATATGTGAAAATACAGTAATTTGGTGAACATTTCAGGAACATGTAGTTACTGAACAGCCAAGTAGGCACGAACAAATTAAATTTCCGTATTCAAAGGGAAAGAAATTTTAAAAATAGTGGATTAAAAAACAGTAACTTTTTGCCTTTTTGAAAAGCCGTGATAAAATTTTGTTCAAAACCAGATATTTACTGGAAAACATTCAGGAAGCAGTTTTTACTTAAAGCCATGTTCCCTCCTCTAACTAGGGTACAGTAAATACCTGTGTTAAAGTAATTGCAGGTGCAAATTATGTTCAAAGAAAGGTGATCACAACAAAACAATTGGATATTCAAGTTTGTTTAAATATTCTGAATTCATACAAAAGCTGCTTTTACAAAAGTCAATACAGTGTGTGCTCTTGCTAGTCATTCAGAGCCTTCTTCAGTTTTACTCTCATTTAATTTTGAGAAGTCTTACGTGTTATGAAGTGTCCAGTTTGGCAGAGGTGTAAAATTATTTCCTTTTAATCAGATCAAACTCACGTCTTAATTGTAAAACTCTAGTTCTCATTTGGTTTTGGTAATTGAAATCAAATCTCCTGCTTCCATCACAGATCCTCCTCTGTGCTACTTAACCCAACTCTTTTAAACACCTCTTGCCATCCCCCTGCAGCCACCAAGTGTTCGACCCTTGCCCATCATCAGTCTGCAGAGTCACTGCTCAGTAATGTGAAGCATTTCCATCCTCCCTCCTAGCTTAGACCACCATGGCCTAAGGGGTGTTATTAACATTATAAGCTCCTTCAGGCAGTAACCACCTCCTTGTTCCATATTTGCCCAATGTCTAGTAACCAGTCTATTATAGTAGCCCTTAGACATTCCAGTAATTAAAATAATCTTCCCATAGCGTGTCTTACTATAGTCCCACTGAAACCGCCACTGTGGATCTGGTCTGGTTTTTCTTCATAGTAGAATTTGACCCAGAATTGCTGGTTTCCCTGCTTTAAAATATTTAGGGCATCCCTGGTGCTGCTCTAAGTAAATACAACTAATAATGAACAAAAACAGTTCTGCCAAAAATGGCCAAAGGCAATGCCTTTAAACACAAACTAAGTGCTCTTCAAAGTAAAAAACTCTCGGGCTCCTTGGGTCACCTCCATTATCCCCTGCTTCTCAGAAGCAGAGGAAAGAATCTGTGCTGAGAAACAGGGAAATAATGATTTGAGGCCAGTGCTTCAGGGTGGTCTCAACAGGTCCAGCTCCATCATTTTAAGTTGTGTGATGGTAGATTGCACCAGGCAGCAGCCTGGCCCTCTGCTTTTCAGCCTACCCTGTATCAAGGTGTTACTAAATTATTCCCTATTTTAAATGAAAAATGCAAACTTTCCAACCAGGCAGAAGGCAGGGGAAAAAAGGCAGCAACACTGAAACTCAAGAAAATATTAGCTTTAAACATCAGGTACTGCCTTTTGTACAGTCCATCCTTCAAGAGCAAACACTTGCAAGAGTATCAGGTAGCAAGGTAATAAAACCAGATGATGCTGAAAACTTGTAGCAGTTGAAGGCATTGAGATTTATCCTCTGAATTTCCTCCTGAATATGCTGATGTAAGGGCATTGTAAAGAGCTGTTTCTCTTTGCAGGGCCCTGACAATTGCATGAAGTGTGCCCATTTTATAGACGGCCCCCACTGCGTGAAATCCTGCCCGGCGGGGGTTCTGGGCGAGAATGACACCCTCGTCTGGAAATACGCCGACGCGAATGCCGTTTGCCAGCTCTGCCATCCAAACTGCACCCGGGGGTGAGTAATACCTCGGGCTGAATGGAACAGGGGGAAATAGGGGAACAGCTGTTCTCGAGCTCTTTGCCTTCCTACCAGTCCCATTTCAAACCACCGAGGAGGAGAAATAGCAGGGAGCAAGAGAGGTCAGGAGTACACAGGTAATGTAAGCACAGCATGGCGGACTTTGTAAATAGGAAAGGTTCAGTGGCACTTCATCTTGAAGGTAAAAAAAGAAAAAAAAATGTTTTAGGGGGTTTGAAGCAGGTCTGTTTGTTGATTTAAATAGGAAACTTCCTGGAATTTTACAGAACTCATCCTCCAGTCATGTCTTCTCTTTTTTTTTTTTTTACCACCTGGCTTGGTGCTGGGTCCTCTGGTTTTGGGAGGAACATCAGTGACATCTGGTGGATGCCAGGCTCCCGGGCCCTATTTCTATTCTGCACCTTTGATTTTTTAGGAGGGAAATCGCAGTGGGGTACCACAGTAATATTTTTTTCCTTCTTTGCATATACTAGCACTTGGTCTGAGTTTAAAGCCTTGCTTGCCTCCTGTGTGTGGCTTTATTTATGAGTATCATAGTAAACCCAGTCTGTATGAACGATTTTTGTCCTCATTTGTGGGCATGCTTAAACCACCACCCGTAACAAGCTGTGAATTGAACTGTATTTTACCTACTTGATAATAAGTAACAACTGTCTCCTCTCCTGGTTTCCAACCTGCAAAGGACATGGGATGCGCAGTAAAAGGTTTTAGGGTTTGAGACTTGGTTGTTGGACCACAGTGCTTTAAGAGCAGGAAAACAGGCCGTGTTTGGTGTCTTTTCCTCCACTGGCCCCTGCCCTGTACCCTGCAGGTTTGTCTGATCCAAAATCCTTCTGTAATATGCTCGTAATATGTGTTGCAAGAGAGAAGTTATAACATACTTATACTGACCATCATCCCATTGTATATTAGCTAATTCATCTGCCAGGTCATTGAAAAGTGGAGTGCCCAGGCTCCCACCTTCATGGAGAAAAGGAGATGAAAGGTCAAACCAGCAAGTAACAGCCCTTCCCTAGTGCTTGTAGTGAATACAGTGGTCTGGTTTTCAGACGGTAGCTGTAACAGCTGTGTGGGTTTGCCATGATGTACAGCGATGCCCCGGCTTTTGTTACAGTCGCAGGCAAGACTTATCAGGGCTTCCCCATCACACGCCTGAGAACAAGTGATCTCAGTTGAGAAGGGATCTTAATAACTTCGCTCTTTATTAATGACCTCTGTAGTCCCTACTGATACAAACCAGCCATGGTGATCCAATATACTTCTTCTAACTGGCTGCATGGAAATGCAGCTGATTACTGGAGCAGCGTATTGGGTAACCACATCTGAACAAGGCTTTCCACTGTGTGGCCTCGGTAATGAGATCAAACATGAGACTGAAGTGATTGCAGACTTGGAGAACATAATCTGCCAGACGTAGATGTAATGACGAGCCACATGGTAGTTCTTTGTGCACAAGCAAGTCCCTGGAGCAGACTTCATCAGAAAAGTCAATTCCTGCCTGGCTTTAGCAGTGGATGGGTGTACCACAGAAGTCTGGCAGGTGATGGGGGTAGGGTAAGGAGATCTTCTTTTAAATTAGGGGTACCCAACATATGGCTTGGTGTTATTAAGGCACAACATAAAGAGTAGTATCAATTCCATCTCTTACATGAAAGAACTGGACTGTTTGCCTAAGTTATATTGTGGAGATGCTCAATCGCCCAGTTCAAGTTGCTGCCCGAATGTGGTAGAAGAAATAGGCTGTATCCTTGAAAGGCTCAAGAAAGCTGGAAGAAGGTAGTGTTACTATTTTTGCTTTACAGATGGGACATCTGAGGCCAATGGCATTGATAGGTAGGGAACCAGTGTCAGAGGCATAATCTGGGAACGTGCAGTCTGGCACAGCATTGTCCCTGTGAAGGCAATCAATCAGTAATGCCACTTATTTCTCTTCACGCCTTTCCCTCGTTGTGCTGCGGGAATGAGAGCTGTTCAGCAGTGGGTGGAAAACATCTGTCTCGCAAAGTTTTTGCATCCTTAGAAACCACAGTCTCAGCAATTTCTGCATGACAAGAAACAACAACTTTATTTCTGTCCCTGTCCAATTTCACAGCTAGAGACCACAAAATCTTACCAGTGTGATTAAGTGCACTGACTTCAGTAGTCATGCAAGTAAGGGTTTCCAGGATTTGGCTCTATTCTTCTTATTTGGAGAAGCAGCAAGTAAAGAGGACTTCTCTTCCCAGCTGAGCCTTGTTGTGAATTTTGGATTTTACTTTAGGTGTGCTTGCTGGTCGTGCATCACTTCCTTTGTATCACTGTGAAGAATCTCGTCTCGTCTCGTTTTCTTTGCTTAGTCATTTGTTCAGCCTTCATTAGAAAACAGAAGGGAGGTAGCCTTCTCTTGCTCAGCCCAAAAGACCCTTTCTTTCCCGTTTCCCCTGTAACCTCTTGGGGATTTTGTGCAGCAGCTTCCTTTTGCTCTGCCTCTTGTACAGCTGAGAAAATAGGCTCCGACAAAGACAGCGATGTCCCCAAAGCCCTGTATTAACCCATTTATACCTCCAGCAACTAATGACACACGCCAGCTTAATTAATCTGCTCACCATTGAAGGATTTGGTTTTCCCTAGCCACTCTCCCACAGTATGGGAATTAAATTCAACCACAGCCACTGGGGTGGAAGAGCAAAGAGGAGAGAAGCCACCACTGGCCGACACGTCCTGCCTCCGCAGTTGCTACCAACATTATGCATCTCAACAGTCTTCATGTTAAATGCCAGGGAATTTTAGGGGGAGGTGGTAAGAAAGCATCCAGGGGATCTGAGAGGGAACAGCACAGCACAAATCTGATGCCTTTGTCACACTCTGAAGGTTAATGAGAAAGAAAGTTCTTGTAAGGCATTAAAAAGCCCAATGTTTTTCTATTTCTTTTATGACTGTGAAGTAACTTAAGGTGTTATAGTGTGAGTTCCTTCTGAAAGGCCATAAATCATAGCATCCTGGCCGTATTATATCAAATTAGGAACTATGGGTCGAGGAGCAGGTTGTTAAAAACTTGATGGATTTGGGAAATAGCTGTGTCCGCACTGGGACAAGTAATATTTATGTAGACAGATGAAATGCCGAGTTCAGGATGCAAAAGTTTTCAGGGACTGTACACAACACTAATTTTCCAATAACTAGAGAAGTATTTCAGAGACTACAACTGCTGCTAGATTCTATCTCGTGTATCCATAAGATCTTAAGGCAGTTTGTAACACATGGTCACATTTCTCAGTTTCTGGAAGCAGAAGAAAAACGATTCAGGAATGGAAAAAGTGATTGTTTAGATTCCATAAAAGCTGGGTTACTTATGTCGGATGCCATCATAAAATTCCACATTAAGAAAGATGGTTATATTTAGTCCTGGATGGATATTTGTCATAGGCTTTGTTTCTCCTTTGACTTGTGAAATGAATCAGAAAATCACATGGGATTTGAAAAGCACAAGCTGATCTGTCATTTTCTTCCCAAACACCTTTTCACTTTATCCCACTAGACTTGATATTGATGGATTTGTGTGAGAATTTTTATTTTTTTTTTTTTTTTTTTTAAAAAAAAAAAAAGGGAAAGTATGAAACTTAAAAAAATGATGTAGGGAAAAATAACTGGTCAGTCATTCCTCAGACTGTAGATACTATCCCCTCAGCCAATTTTTTTTGCTGGTAGGAAGCCCATGGAGGACATGCCATCATAAAGTAGCATGGCAAACCAGAATTTTTAGGAAGAGATCATTTGAGGGACCACAGTCACATTCTGAAATAAAGCAAGGTCTTTTGATTTCACATCCTTATCAGAAGAAGGTGCACATGCTTTGTTGCATTAGCATGTAGAAATTCATATCTGAGTGGTAGAGCATGATAGGATGAAGTCTTGAGTCCTAGACGTGTTTTCTGTGGAGCACCCGAAGAGAGAAGCCCGATGTGAAGCAAGATACGTCTCCTGTGACCGTAAGCAAGCTGGTGGTTCTGCTCTGCACGTGCAGCTTCTCTGTGCTTAGTTACACAACTGAGCAAACAAACCAAGCCGTAGGCAGACAGGGAACGCTAACAAAGCTGGGCGCCCAGGATCCGGGAACTGGTATGCACAGCACTTCCAGCATGTCCAGGACACCAGGATGCACATTCTTGCATGGGAGCCCAGTGAACTTACAAGACCTTCCAGATGCTGGGTCTTGGAGCACTGTGTTGGCCCAGAAACAAGTCAAATACACGAGGGAAGATCAGAATAATGAAAACAAACAAACAAAAACCCAATAAAATGAGTAGTTGCTTCACCTCTTCCTCCCCCAGACCTAGATCAAGTTATGAGATAAGATCTGCAATCCACCTGCCATTTTGAATTTTTTCTGGTTCCTCCTCTTGGCAAGAGGGAATTCAGAGCAGTTTTCCTGGCACGGGATCACTCCTTACCCCCTACTTGACCTCCTCTGGAGTTGTTTTGGGATGATGCATTTTCTTTAAGTCAGCACAGAGAGCAAATACCACAAACTGGACTTTTCTCCTTGCTGTGCTCTGTTTTTCAGAGGTGATGTAACCCTCTCTGTAATGCTCTCCTTCCTCAGTAGACACCACAAAGACCACAATTCCCATGAAGAGCGTACATCTTGTAGCCCAGCAGCACTTCGGGAATGCATGGTGCTTCTCACACCCATTAGACCATCAAGTGAATGCAGTCACTGTGTTTTCCTACGTGTTGTTTTTTGCATCAGGCTGCCAAAATGAATTTCAGGCATTTTAAAATCAAATGGAGGGTGAATGACTTGCTAGTAGAGTTTCTGGCTCTCTGAAAAACTGTCATACCTGTTTACATTACTAGTAACTTAAGATCTTAGATTTTGAAAGAAAAATATGGACACATACTACCTGCCTATAGCCAAAGGGAATGCTGTCAAATCCTGTTTTCTGATGGGAGCGAGTATCTGCTACCCAAGTTTTCCACTGCAATAGAAAGTCTGGAAATTGGAATCTTTTACTTACCAGCAAATAGGGATTATGCAGGAGGGTCCGCTGCAATGCGTTCCATGTGGCTTTCTGCCCTTGTGCAGGGGAGAGACTGCTTCTGCCCTCCTCCATGGTCAGCCCTGAGCTTCTGTGCTAATGTAGATGTCTGCACAGAGCCAAGGAATCCAGGTCCATTTGGATTTTACGTATCTACATCCTCCCCCCATTCTACCACATGATAGAAAGTTGTTTTAAAATATTCTTTATACTGAGTATGCAGCATAACTATGCCTCTAGATAAAAGATTTTGGAACAAGGCCATTGGCTGATATTTAATAGAGTGTTTGACTATTATAAATTCCTATGTTAATAGTTGGACTGCTCTGAAACGAAAACTTTTCAGTCAGTAGCACTCTTCTTAGTTGGAATTATAGGAGTATGTATGCCAGAGCTAATATGTTTGTTACGTTCATTTGTTTTTACAGGTGCAAAGGGCCAGGTCTTGAAGGCTGTCCGAATGGGTGAGTATTTCATTTGCTACAATTAACAACAGAGCTGAAAAGAATGCATGCCTGTTTACATTTCCATGCTGGACACTGCATGGCTGGGACTAAAGTTAAGTCTTCAGCTCTGTACAGGGAAGACAGATTCTCACTCTAATCTGACAGATTAGAGTAGGCTCTGACCTATAAAAATGATTTAAAGAACAGAGAATTATTCCTACTGGCATGAGACTACAAAACCTAGTTCTGCTTAGTTTGTCAACGTGAGACCTGGGATCTGTTACTGGAGAACAAAAGGAGGAGCTGGAAAAAGAAAGGATTAAGGGCTAGTGGCAGACAGAGATATGTTTAGGAATGATATGGTTACCTGCATTACAGGGGATTAATCTCAGAGACTCAGGGTTTTTTCCCAGCCCTGTGATCTGTACATCTCCAGCCACTCTGTGCACAGATGGACGTTCGTTCTTGTGTTTCACTGTTTGGCCTCATGACTTGCTCAAAGTCATGCAACAAGCAAACAGGCTTTTCTGACTAAGAGAGTAGGATTTAGTTTCTGCCCACAAAGTCATGCTATGGCAAGACAAATTCAGCCTAGTACTGTTAAAAAGTGACTCTTTTTAGTAGTAATCCCTGGGGCAACTTAGAAAACGCTGTGATGGATCTCTAAGTACAGACCATAAAACAACCTTGGAAAACAGGTTTTTCTTTTCAACTTAAATTTGAAATGACCCAGGCTCTGATAAACAGACAGAAATCTGTACGTAGAATGTGGAAGGTTCACACATTACGTGGTCTCAGACATTTTGTACTTGGAGGGGAGGGCTAATGATTTGAAGTACAGCATGACCCTTAGAGTATGCCGTACCCTGATAATGGTGAGACGTCAGCTTCATTGTTGGTATCACAACTGCGTATGCCTTCTTGATATCACCTCTCCATGTCCTTCGTGTATCTGATCACATTCACGCTGCCCATGGCTGGCACATAGAGGCATCACAGATTTGATGCTGATGTGCTGCAAGGATTTGTTAGAGGGAGGAGAAATCCCCTCGCTTAAGCCATGAGGATCAACTCCAGTTGCGAGGTTGAGAGAAGAGTGAAGACTTGAGCAGGTTACACCCCAATCATTACTGAGCATGGGAAGAAAAAAACTCAAGTGAGGAATGGGATACAGGAGAAGGTTTTCGACCTCCTTTCCATCTGCGTTCCTGGGTGGACTATCAATGTAACTTCCACTGTGCTTTGAAAAGAAAGCATGCAAAGTTTTGAATACCTCGTCTGTGTGGAGAGCCTTTTCTTTTCCCTCCTGCTTTGTGATGTTAAAACCACCAATGTATACAAGCAGGCCCATCTCTGCAAGGCTCAGTTCCTGCCACACACCACAGGAGCAGTTTTAAAGGAGAGATACAAGTGCTTTGATTTATTAAAGGGGACTTTGCAAATATGGGACAAAAGTAGAAACCCAGCAAAACAAATGGCACAAAAATGGTAGGTGCAGAAGGCTGTGCAGAAACAATCGGCAGAAGAAGGAAGAGATGGATGAACAGTGGAGCAGAAATCTTCACTGCCAAGCATAGTAAAAGTCAGGAAGGTCTCATATCAGGTCAGTTCTTTTGATCCTTCACTTTTTCTTAAAGAGTAAAACCGATAAATACAACCACTGGATGAGGAACTTAAAAATACAGATGCCCAAGGTACCTGAAATGTCACATAGGCTTAAGTGGATGTCCAGAGAATGCGTTTGTTCAAAACCTAAGACTTCATGCAATCTCTGTAGCATTTGCTTTTAAAATCTTACACATAAGCATTTTTCTCTCTTTCTGCATCCCCTCCTGTCTTGCAGCTCCAAAATCCCGTCTATCGCAGCTGGCGTTGTCGGAGGTCTCCTGTGCCTGGTGGTGGTCGGCTTAGGCATCGGCCTTTACTTGCGGAGGCGCCACATCGTCAGAAAGCGGACCCTGCGCCGGCTGCTGCAGGAGAGGGAGGTGAGTGCCGCCTCCATGGCTGCAACACCGGCTGCTTTATTTGGGGCAACGGGTGCTGTCCTCCCCCTACCAGAGAATTAAAGCACTGTGCATCTGCCTTCTAACTCAACAAGCCCTTGGGTTGGCCAACACGGCGTCTGCCACGCTAGTTGGCAGAGAGGCAGTGTGCACCTAACACCTTCTCACTTAATCTCAAGCCTCATCCCTCTGGATATAATTTTCAAAAGCTTTAGGGGATTTACATGTCTAAATCCCAATGAAAATCATTGAGATTGTCTACCCGGCAGAAACTATGCCTTCAGGGTGAGGTGCAATGTGTGCTGATCCATACCACCCTCAGCCTCGAACTACTTCTCCCTCCAGAAAAGCCTTGAGGCTGCTGTGGCAACTTGAACGCTTTTGAAAATTTTACCCACTTGATCAGGAGTGTGTCTGATCCAGAGGAAAAAAAAAAATGAGAGAGAAAGGAGAGGAGGGAAAGGAATTGAGGAAGTGTTTGTGTCTTGTCTTTGGTTTGTTTTTAGCACAAAAACCCCACAAAGCCATCAAAGTGAATGGTTCACCCTGCTGGGCGTAAACAAGGTGTCTATACTGCTTTTTGTTTTCTGCATGGTTTTGTGTGTGTTACAGCATCACCCTCTGGGTACCTCACATATAAAATAGCAAAATTCATTATCCTGGATTAAAGCTGCTCTTTTATGATTAGCCCCCTTCTCTTTCTAGTCCAATCCTAGTAAATGATTAGCAAATAGTATTTAGCATTGTGCTAAAAGCACAGTTGCAGCTTTCTTCTGTGCTCTCTGGCTTTGCAGAGTCAGCTGCTAAAATCCTTAAAAAAACAAAGCTGTCCTGCTTTTTAATGCACTATCTAACAGTATTTTACATATCACTGTATTCTACAGCTGTGATAGTACAGTTCAGTTTGTGCTCAGCTCAAATTATACCCTCTGGACTCCTCAAAATGAGGATATTTCATCACAACAGAAAGGTTGCTGGCCCACTAAAATCAGATTGTATCTAGTTAAATACGGTTGTATTCAAAGGAAAGGAAAAAGAAAAATCACTAAGGGAAAAAGAGCTCACTTATGTATCAAAAAAGTGTTAAATTATGTGTTTGGAGGGCATTGCTGCTGTTTGCAATAATGCTTAGATCAAATTTTGAAAACATCAATTGCCAATTCAACATCACCTTTTATATTGATAAAAGAATCACTCTCAGATTTTCAATTGCTGCTTGTAAACCCTGCGATCTGGGGGAGCCACTGGTACCATGGGAATTTCATCCAGTTCAACAGGAGCAGACTTGAAAGGTTGCAGGTGATTCTTGCCCAGTATTTAAAATATTTTTGTAATTTATTCAAAATTCATGCTTTGAAGTCAAAGCCTTAATTTAAACAGTAGTATTCCTTCCTTCTCCTTCAAAATGGCAGTCGCCACTCTGTGATTGATTTTACCTCTGAAATTTGGAGCAACTCTAGATATTTATTGCTGTAAGTCAGAATGGAGCTGTCCTCCCATAAACTTCACGTGGAACAAAATGTTCGTTATTTTAAAGGAAGGATTTATTTGCTTCCCCAAAGCGCGCTGCTTGCTGTCCTTCTAGACTGTATATCCTTCTAATGTCTTCTCTCTGCACCAGCTTGTTGAACCACTGACACCCAGCGGGGAGGCGCCAAACCAGGCTCATCTGAGAATTTTAAAGGAAACAGAATTTAAAAAGGTCAAAGTTTTAGGCTCTGGAGCTTTCGGCACTGTTTATAAGGTAAGATCACCATGTTTATCGTCCCTTTTTCATCTTGCTCCCTCATGCAGAAGCCACCCAAACAAAGCATGAACCAAGAGCTGCGGTCATTGTGTAGATTTTTTTCAACTAGATTTTATAGCATGCATATATTGAATGGTAGAGAGATGACTTAGTCATCATAAGCTGAGTTAAGAATCGGGTAACATGGGAAGTTTTATTTAAGATGTTGCCAAAGCCATGCTGCTGAACGTGGGGACAAAGATCTCTACTTAAAAACTGCCACAGCCAAATACACCCTGTTGTGAATATTTGGAAAAAAAGAAATACACTTTGGTCAGCTCAGTGCTAAGCCATTTTTCTCTGGTCTGGGGTCATTTTTTTATAATTGCCAATCACTCTTCCATTAGAACTGATTCAGATGTGTGGAAGTGCCTACACGCCTTCAGTTGTCTAGGTCCACAGGGTGATTGTTTCTTGCCGGTGTTTCTTCTTCACCAGGTTCCACCTTTCTGTGCTCCTCCTTTTATTCAGGATATGTGTTTCAGGCTTTGCCAGCACCACTGAAATAGAAACTGTAGGTTCATATATTTCTTTATAAAGCTCTATATTCTGAATCAGTGTTCCAGCTCTGGCTAGGAACTTCAGGGACGCAAATCCCACTGACCTCTGAAAATGCGCACCTGCATTGCTGGGTACTTCAGCAGAGTGTCCTTGTAGCACCATGATATTCACCTGCCACCTAAATGCCCTCATGACACTACAGATGTAGAGCACTGAAGCAGGCAGACACAAACTTACCTGCCACTGCATACGTTTAGGACTGGATTATTTTACGGGATAGATCCCATCTGATTTACATGAGAAAATCCCAGTTCTTTTCATCCCATGATTTATAAATTGGAAGTGGCAAGGTTTTGCACATGCAGTTGCCGTGATGCACTAATTGATTAGATTTCCATCCACATAAGTTGCTCCTTATGTGTCTCTTGGGCTATTTATACAGGGACGGTAATGAACATGCCTTTTCAAAAACGTACAGTAGAGATTACCGAAAGAGAAATACCACTCACTGCATTAACAGGATTTTGTCAACACCCACAAGACATGTTTTTTGCAAATTTTTGTTGTCTGCCATGTCTTCCCATTGCTCAGAATATTTAAGTCTACTCAGAAGATGTAAAATGTTTATGTAATTGTGAGAATTAACCTGTTAGATATGAGACTGAGTAACTCTTTGTGCTTCTTTTCGGTAGGGACTTTGGATCCCTGAAGGGGAGAAGGTTAAAATTCCGGTTGCTATTAAAGAATTGAGAGAGGCTACATCGCCAAAAGCCAACAAGGAAATACTTGATGTAAGTTTTTGTGTTTGTTTTACCAAGTTGTATGTGGTCTGTGGATTTTCCTCTGTAACATCTAAAGGGATTTCAGGATTTTGGGTGGGAAGAAATATTTTGCACCCCAAACTGCATTCTCCATATAGAAGTACTGGGCTTTGCAGCCCAATCTGTGAAGTGTTCTTGTGTCTTCTATGAACCCCATCCTCACAGTCCAAATACTGATGTTATACTTGTGGGGTGGCACCTAAGGAGAGGTCAGGGCCATACATTTACAGCTAAGTCTGTTTTCTTTATTCTGATGTTAAACTGTGGCATTAATTGCCATTATGGCAGTACAACTAAGCCCAATAACAACATATCTAATGATTTTTGAATCCTGACATTGCAGCTTCTCATAAGATAGTTGCTTGGTTAAATACAATTAAATTAACTATAAATCCAAAAGAAAAAAGATTCCAGCTGTCTGGTTTCTCTGCCATGAACACCAAGAAATTATCTCGCTTCGCAAAAGATGTATGGGAATTTTATTCTCGTGCTTGGATATAGCTCATCACTTCAGAAAACAGGGGAAAAGGCTACGGGAAACTGTTTCAGGAGTTTATAGATGTGTGTGTGAGTTTAAAATGGGTGAGCCAGAATGCTAAATAGAAATTTCCCTGAATATGGAATAGCTAAAAATCTGAACTTTGCCACTAGATCCGAAGCCACGTAACACATGACACCAAGGATACACATTTATATACAAGGAAAGGTAAATGCTGAGTGCGGAGAGGAGCACTCAGATGTTCAGTACACATTCAGTTCAGCTTTCATGTGCTTTGGTTCAGTCTTCAGCAAGAAGAAATGTGACAGGGGGCACGTGCCTGTGTGCTGTTCAGCCCTTTGAGCCCCAAGCTGGAGCCTGCTGGGTCGGCCCAGGGGTGCCCCAAAAGCAATGCAGTGAATTTGGTACAGATGAAGTGTTTAAGCTTCTCCTTGCTATACCTGCATAAGTGTGCCTCTAGAAAGCGTAGGTTGGAAGCTTGGATTTGGCCGGGGCTCATCTATCGAGCGCTTGTTTGCAGGGACAGGGCGCACATCCCTGGGACGTCCCAAGTGGAGCTGTGAAATGCGGGTTCCTAGCTTGGGGACAGCCTGTTTGCATGGAAGTGACCGTGGTGTTAACCAAATGCACAAATCTTTCAGCCATGGGGAAAACTGTGGAATCTTTTTTTTTTTTTTGGTAGGAACCGAACCACTTTAGCAGGAAATGTAATTAATAAATAAGTAAATTCAGCTTTCGCCAGCAAACGACGCCCCAGGTAGGAAGGCTTTTTTCAAATGGTTCAAGCTGGCAAAGATCTTAACAAAAAGCCGTCTCATAGTGAGAAGTGTCAGGATGAATGGCTGTGAACAAACCACCAGTGATAGTAAACCACACTGGATTTTTCCAGTGTTATTCCAATACATTACTCCACTTCCAACAGTTTGTGTGTTATGTACCATATGATTTGATATGTGTATTGCAGCAATGCAAAAGAATAGGTGGTCCATCTCAGAATCCATACCTGAAGCAATATCCATCCTGGTTTTGGTTTAGTTGGACTCCAGACCAGTCTCAGCCCTTCCCCAGGCCCCTGACCCATGTGGCCGTGGTCCCTGCCCCTCGCCTGCCTGCGCGCAGGCTGCGGTCCCTCCCTTCGCTGGCGTTCCCCACATTGAGGAGCTGGCAGAGATGCTGCTCAGCTGCCTGCCCTGAGCTCTGCCCCTCAATTCCCTCTTCACGGTGATAAGGAGCATAACACAGTCTTCACAAAGGATGCTTTGGACTTAGCTGCATTAAATTCCTGTATACTGAAGGAAGGATTAATGAATAAGCCTACAGTACTGCATCCTGCCTTCAGCAGATCAAGATAGTCACGTGATGGGGCAGTAGGTGCAGGGACTGCACGCTCTTTGGTGATATCAAAGTACTTTCCCTTTTTCAATGACGTTTCTGTAGCACATCCCCACGTTATCTTTTCTTTTTCTTTGAATTAGGAAGCTTAACAAAAAGCTCTTCCTTTTTTCAGTCCTGTTGATTTTTTAGATTATTTGGTTGGTGGAATTCATTCTATATTTCAGAAGAAAATACAAAAATACAAAACCAGCGAAAGAAGTCAGGGGGAGGGCTCCAAAAGCTCCTCTCAAAACAGACTTTTGCTACACAACCAGCTTTTCAAGGTCACTGAAACCCCAGAGATAATAATGTCCAATTAAAGGTGATTTGTCTTACAGAAACACATTAGGTATAGAACAAGCGCAGCAGTTTTAGCTCGTATAATCCAGGCGAGCTCTTCCTGGCTTTATTAGGGTAGGGCTAATTCAGAAGATTGTTGTTGAATACCAGGCATACTTGGAGCAGGTCAGAGCGTACCGCAGAGATTTCCAAGATAAACAGTAGAAACAAAGGCCCACTTTAATGTCTCGGGCTACTTAGAGGGACCCACAACTGCACAATAGCTCCCTTCTGCTCCCTGCCAGGAGGTGGTGGCCTATTTTACTTTGCAGTATCAAATGTAATAGACGGTGTCAATGCTTGGATGCTCTCCGAAAGCTGTGTGGCCCATACACCCACCCCGCTCTCTCAGCATCCCAGTTCTCAGCCTCCCAGGTCAGCCCCACGCGGGCTGTGCGGCAGATGGGCAGCGAGAACAGCTCCGACTCTGCAGATTCTTTTCTCCCCTGCTGAAATGAATACAATATGTATCTGAATCCCAACAGGAAGCAAGGCACGGAGAAGACGCCTTTCATCGGTACGACAGCTCAGTGTGGAAGCCTAGGGAGATGCGTGTGTTTTGGTCTCTGCTTACATCTGAGCATCGTATAATGGATTTACAGGATTCTCTAAAAAACGCTGCCACAAATATCTACGTAATTGAATGGCAGATTGTATTCTTGCTTTATCTTTCCTCAAGCCAGCTCACAGAATCGGTGCTATCCGTGACAGAGGGTTGGTTTTCAATGACCTGCTCACATCCTGCAGTGGGTTGAGGAGTACTTATCCAGTCCTGCTGGACATCTTCTTTAACCTGGCTGCCTGCAGGCCACTTTCATCCCAGGGGCTCCAAAACAAGGATACCAAATGCAGAATTAGCACCTCAGAAGAAGCTGCATTACATCATCTTTTGCTAGGCTGGCACATCAAACAACAATACCAAGCCCAGAAAGTGTTGCTTAAGAATTGGGGCTGCTTATTTCTTGAACGTCATTGCTTTAATAACTTTGTTTAATAATAGTTCCTACCAACTACACAGCTATGTGACATCTGTGGAAAGCTTGTTAGATGATGAGTAAAGCGCTATGGTATTTCTTTTCTTAAGCTTTTACAAAGTGCAGATTTGCTCCTTTCCTTGCCACAATAGTGTCTTCACTATGATTTTAGGCTTTGGGGGGGGCTGCCTGCTTAATGCTGAACTGCCAAGGGATGATTAATTGGTGTCACTCCACATGCTGAGTTAAGATGCTGACCTAAAAGCTCACTGCATGGAAAAATTCCCATTTATTTTCCATTGTGTTGGTTTTCAATCAAATGGCTTTAAAAATGTCTAAAAGTGACATACTGTAAATCATACACAAAGTTAGTTAAAAAAACCAAACAACTTCAGCTCTAATTTTTTCCCCAACTGGAATCCATCCTTTGAGCTGGCACTTGACAGTGGATGTCAATATAAATATAGATCTCAAATTTCAATCCATGAGTCGTTTTTGCACACAAAACCCAGGAAGTCGGGTTTTTTTACCCTGCGGCTGTGTTAAAGGATGTATTCAGTGTGTCTGGAGTGTACCGTACCAGCCTCTGAAGGGGCCTGTCTCTCTTCCTACAGAAGAGCAAAGGAAGAAGAGGTACCTCAGGTACCTTAGCTAGGTACCTAAAGCTACATAGGGTGAGCCCTTCTTGAAAGAAGAGGTTTTCACATATTTATGAAACTCAAACCCAAAATTCCAGTTGACCAAAGGGTTTATTATGCTTGGGCTCCCACATTATAAGTACTTTCCTGGTATCATTTAAATTGCTATATGGGTCTAAAAGAGCTTTTCCAACCCAGGGCAATATTTTCACCAGTGTTGCTTAAAGTAAGACAAGTATTAAAGCTTCTAAAGAGGTGAACTGACTATTAACCTGTTTGGTTTGACATGGCCTGAAGAACAACATGGTTGAGAAGAACATGTTCTCTTAGAAAGTCAAACTGTCAGCCACATCCTAGACAACAACTTCTGACTTTCTGTATTAGTACAAACCTTGACAGAGGGGCAGAAGTCTCAAGGACACTGATTTCCAGTCATTTTTGTGAGAAGATCTGTGGAGGAAAAAAATCCATATGACACGTGTTCATAAGACATGTTTCCCTTGCAATTAGGTGCTCAAAATGATGAAATCCCATCAGCTTCCAGCTGATGTTCAATTTATGAATTCCTCCTAGGTCTTTAAGATTTGTCCCAGGATTTTGTGTCCAATGTTTGCTTGGCGTACCAGTAGTGGGAGACTGGCTCTTCTGCGGCATCTCAGTGATGCTTCAGTGTTCAAAATCTGGACCTTCCACCAAGTGGAAAATACGTAGTCCACAGAGTGGGAAATACAAGTATTTTGTATTCAATATGGGGCACAGAGGTTGCGTATAGTATTTTAGCAACCTCTTGAATGACCAACTTATTTTATACTGCCTCCAAACATTTCTGTCATGCCAAAGGGAGTCTTTCATATTGCTTTTTTGCCTTTCTTCTCAGGAAGCTTACGTGATGGCTAGTGTTGACAATCCTCATGTGTGCCGCTTGTTGGGGATCTGCCTCACTTCTACTGTTCAGCTTATCACACAGCTGATGCCTTACGGCTGCCTCCTTGATTACATCCGAGAGCACAAGGACAACATCGGCTCCCAGTACCTTCTCAACTGGTGTGTGCAGATTGCAAAGGTAAGCAGACTGGCACACCTCCAGATAGATCAGATAAAATTTGGACTCTAACACAGAGATCTGACAGCATGTAATGTATTTATTTACTTAACCTGTCTCTGTACATCTTTCTATTTCACCACGTGGTTCTGAAATACCTTATACGTGGCAGCAAGCGGTTACTTTGTCTTAAACAATTTACCATTTTCAAGCTGCTGAGAAAACCTTAAGTATTCTTCAAAATGCTTCTAGGCAGAGTAATATTGCCACGACATTTATGTCCAAACCAAACACCCGGTAATGAACTGATAATGTGATGCAATGAAGCTGTGGCAGGGAAGGGAGTCGAATTTGGCAATTCCCATACTAAAATGCTGCTTCCATCAGTGGATTTCTTTAGGCTGTGCCACAGGGCAGACAGTGATGTTGTTGGATACACCTTCTGGTGCGCCTCGGAGAATTTCAAGCTGAAATCTCTGAGGCCCGGAGTTCGAAATTGATGATTAATAAATACCAGGTCCGTTCTAGTGCAGGCTGGCTGTGACCAAAAGACATTCAGGCACCCCAGGGCTGTTCTGTGGTATACACTGATACACACTGCAATCTAATTGCAGTGGCTGTGGTGCCAAATAAAAGACTCATTATCACTCTTGGCACTGTTTGCCAAAGAGAAGAGCAGCAAAGGAGACTGAAGGACAACCTCAAGCCCTTAGCAGCGATATCCTGTGTTTGGAAGGTCGTTAGTCATTTGCAAGCATGGAAGAATGGAGCAAAACCAGCAAAAAAAAAAAAAAAGGCAAAAAAAAAAAGCTGCAGTTTGTTGGAGATTTGTCATGTGAGATGGCAGTATCCGCAAAGCCCAGCTGCTTTAATGCCGCTTATTTCGGGAATGCCGGTCTACAAGCTAACCACACACTTAACAGCCTTATCGGTCCCTCGAGACCTTGTATACATCCCAGGCTTGCCCGGCCGTGGTTTGCTTTCAGGAAACATGCTGAGGACCTCAGAAATGTATCCACCGAAAGTATACAGAGCACATTTTTCATCTTGGTGTGTGTACTTCTTTACAGTGCTCTCCACAGCAAGTGAATTATAATTTATGTGTCCACCCAGGAGGCGAACTGCCTTTTTCTGACTCTTTTGGTCTCTTGTTTAAAATCAATTACTGCTCTGTCCTGGTTTCAGTCTCTTTGGAGGATGAGCTGGAGGGCACATTTCCCTCCTCCTCCTTGTTAATTTTTAAGGTGGCAAAATCAGTCTCCAAATTGATCCTCGGGGCACCGCTTGCCCAAAAGGTTGCCATTCACAATTGTTAGCTTCTGTTTGATTTTTTCATGTCGGTTCAACGTTCGCCCATAGCAACCTCTACCCTCTCCAGTGCTGCCTGACCTTCAACATACTCCTTTGTGCTGTTCCACACTGAAGTTCTCCTCAAAGCGCTCGTAAATCACAAGTACACTTTTTCCCACCGATGTGTCTGGTGTTACTACTCTGATAAAGTCTTGCCAGATTTTTGGACATTCTTTGACTCTTTAAAAATGTATTTTTGGAGGGGGAAAAAAATCGAAACAAATGTATTTATGTCTGGTAACTAACCAGCAGGAGGCAAGTTCCCTGGGAAGCTTATTTTTGTTTCTGTTTTCATAGCTTTGAAATAAGTTTTCTTTGCCTTTTTTACAAACATTATCTTTCACTGAGGTATGGAGTCCTGTCTTTCAGACAAGATGTTATGACAGATCATAGACACACCATGTGCAGAAACACTGAGAAGTAACTCTTTGAACACATTGGTCTCACAATTAATGATGAAAAATGGCTTAAGCCCCAGGCCTGCACACAATCTGCTGAACTTTCTAGACGGGCAGTTCAACGTCTTCGGTGTATGGTTACGCACGTGCACAAGTCTTTTAGCTATGAGTGTCTTAAATTAGTATGAAACTGATATTCGGCTTTTCAGCAGCTTTCATCTTAATAAGTCTCTGCAGCAAGACATGTTTAGCAGGAAATTTTTTGTCCTACTGGGGCTAGATTATGTGATTATTACTGTTTTAAGATGATACTCTGTTTTCTGTCAGCAGCCCAAGATTTTTTGTTTCAAGAGCTCTGCTCGCTAAAGATCTATTTGTGTAATTAAAGGCATGCTCATAGTGGCATTGTGCCAGTTGGTTTGGGTGGTTTGTTTTGGCAACATTAGCAGCTCATGGGTGAAGTTCTGCTGGGGAACTTGAGTGGAGGATTCGATGGTGGTCCAGTTAGCAGTGGGCTTAGGAAAGGGGGTGGAGGCTGAAAGGGAATTACTCCCTCCAGTGCTCTGTCATCACATCAACATGATCATTTTGGTGTTAACTTTGTAGGTTAGAAGTACTTTTTTATTAATTCTCCATAAAAATACACGCATATAAGCTGCTGCCAGCAGAAACCCATCGTCTGGGAATAATTGTGGTTTTTAGAAAGGATCTTACAGGAAACTTAGAAATCATGAACTTTTTGATTCCATACACCAAGAGACTGGAGTTGGAGGAAAGGGGAATAACCTCTGTGGTTAGAAATGCAGCTGTTACATTCATACCTTAAAAGTCAAACCGGCACAATCGTATTCCTCTTCAAGAGGCAGTTATACCAAAAAAGCACGTATGCTATAGCAAACCCAGTCTAATCATGGGAGGCGGTGAAACTGGAAGAACTTGCCTTTTCAAAGAGGACATGAAAATAGAGGCAACTCTGGGCTCAGCCAAAAAAATGAATTTCTTAATTTTATTTCCTTTTCTCACCTTTGCAGTAGGATGCCTGGTTGGTAGCAGGGAGCAGAAAGAATACACTGTAATGAGAGGCAGAATCAGCAACTTTAAACAATTAATTTATTTTTGCTTGGACTCTTCTCCCAGGCCGTTAGTGTGTACGTACTCTCTGTAGAGTTGGCCTGTGTGTGTATGGAAGGTGACAGATTCTGCACTGTGCTCTCCTGAAGTCACAGGGGTTGCACAAATGCAGGTGAAAGAAGTATTTGCCCCCTTATTTGCAAGTCCTATTCCAATTTTATATATCTTCCACTGAATCCCAAAGGAACCACATCCCCTGCTATACCTGCTACTGTCCCTTTCTTCTCCATGACTCCACTGGCACGTGGACCCGCAGAAAGGTTCCTGGAGGGTAACAGTGACTTCTCCTTGTAACTGTCCAAGCGCATGTCCTCACCCTGCAATAAGCATCACACAAATCGAAACAGCCAACCTTTTTTTGAAGGGGGGATTACCATGTGTTTATGATAGTGTGCGTACAGTTACCACAGAGCACCTCAAGTTTGGCAACTCATTTGCGCGTCCAAGCCCAAAGCGTGTGGTGCCTACCCATGGCCTGTTGTATTGCAGGGAATGAACTATTTGGAGGAGCGTCGCCTGGTGCACCGTGACCTTGCTGCCAGAAACGTCCTCGTTAAGACTCCTCAACACGTGAAAATCACGGACTTTGGGCTGGCAAAGCTGCTCGGCGCCGACGAGAAAGAGTATCATGCCGAGGGAGGCAAGGTAAAGCGCGTCGGAAAATGAACCACTGCATGTTCGTCGGTGTTTGTGCTTGTACACGAACCTTAGAAACAGGGAGGGAGGGGGAAGAGAGTGGGTTTTTCAAAGCGCTCAGCGGCCGTCTCAGCGTGCTGCCTTTGAAGCCTGTGGGAGTCCTCTGAAATCAGCCGAAGCAGAGTCAAGCCAGTGGGACTGCAGTGGGAGCGGAGGTAGCGCAGCAGCGAATGCTTTTGAAATTCCCACCCAGAATGTCTGGGAAAAAGCGAGATTATTAAAAAAACATTAAACAAAAACCAAACCCAAACATGGCTGAATTCATCAGTGTAGCCAACACCAATAACACTGTGCAGTTTATGAAGAGAAAGGGAATGCTGTATATTTATAGCAGAAGAAAGACCTGTCAGGCTTGGTTCAACTCGCCTTCGCGTTGTACTACGTGCTAATGGAGGGAGCATGTCCTGCTGAGAAATTAAAGAGAAGCTGCTTGCAAATATTGCACAGACCATAAATGGAAACCATATGGGTGCAGATCAGTCTTTGTCATACAGACTGAGATTGGATTTTTGTCCTGTTATGATAGGATAAGGTTAAAAAAATAGCATTTTGACTGTTAAAACTAGTTTAAAACTTATTGTAAGAGATATTTCTAATATGCTTAATATTTCACAAGTTCCCAGGTTCAACATAATAAATGAAAATAATAATAAGGGACTCAAAATTTGCCTGCTCTACCACTCAGATAGTTGTGTTGTTTGTTGGTTGTTTTTTTCCCTTCTGCAACCAAACTCTTGGTTTAAACACCACCTGGTGGTAAATATCACTGATAAATTTTGGGTCAGCCTTTTAAGGCTTTTTTGTGAATTTTCCTAGGTTCCTATTAAATGGATGGCCTTGGAGTCAATTTTACACCGGATTTACACTCATCAAAGTGATGTCTGGAGTTATGGTGAGTCTAAAACTAATTATAATTATTGCAAATGGGTTGGAAAATTGCAGATTTGCTTGTGACTCTACACAGCCCTTTTCTCTTCCTATTGTGAAAAGACTGAGGGATTAAACATAAACAATGGGCCCACACCACTTATTCAACAAAGTAAAACTCCCATGAAATTGCATGATAGTGAGGCGTAAGATGTTTTGCAGCATATGCTTTCAGATGATGAGCCCTCCCCTGAAAGGGGCTGCAGGTAGGAGACCGGTCCATTTGCTGAAGTTCTGCTGATGGTTTTCTTCAGCAACTTTGTGTAAAATATAACTGGGCTGACAATAAAGCCACATAACTAGAGATGAGGACTTAAAAACCACCAGGCAGGCTGTCAGTCAGTGTCAATCAGTGGCCTAAAACATTTGTGCTGTCCTGGTATTGAGAGGACAGTCCTAAAAGGGAAGCAAAGTGATAACCTCCTTAGAGAATTCATTTTATATATGGTATAGTTCATAAGCCAGCTTCAAAGAAAGAGGAGTAGAAAGGAAACTTTTCAAAGCAACTTATTCCCAAAATTTCTACTCCGTGGGCTTTGATATTCCTGGAAAATATTTAATTCAGATGGTCAGATCCTGTGTCCTTTTAGAAAAAGTACAGCCTCTGGTCCTCTTAATCCGTTTATGTGTCTTGGCATCCAAAATCTTGTTTTGTATCCTAAGCTACCAGACAATCAAAACAGCTACATCACAAAAGTACATGGTATGTCAGCAAACGACACTGAGGCAGCTGGTTTACGCATCTTTCGAAAACTGCTCTTGCTTGTCTCCAAAGAGATTGTTTTCAAACAAAAAGACAACTTCCATTTTTAAAACCACTTGCTGGGTTGGAGTCAGGAGGTGGTAACCTGCATTTCCTTTCTCTGGGGCTGGGATGTTTGTGGGATGTTCAACACTGAGATGCTAGCTGAGATTTAAAAAAAAAAACAAACAAAACCAAAAAACCCCAAAAAACTTAAAAAAAAGAGGAAAGTAGGATGAATTCAACCTGTTTTATTAATTTGTCTCTCTTTAAATCATGGCAGAAATTGCTTATCCTGGGTGGGGCTCTGGCAATGCAGTGCCTCCAGGAAAGCCCTCTCTGCTCACCACCTCTCCGCACCCAGGCCAAGCACCCCAGCTCCCAGCAAAGCCTCTCTCACGGTCTTCTCTTCCCTGCAGGTGTGACAGTTTGGGAGCTGATGACATTTGGATCCAAGCCATACGACGGGATCCCTGCCAGTGAAATCTCCTCTGTCTTGGAGAAGGGCGAGCGTTTGCCCCAGCCCCCCATCTGTACCATCGATGTGTACATGATCATGGTCAAATGTGAGTTCACATTTGGGGTAGTGGGTGCTTGCCTAGGTCGAATAAGTAGCACAATTGCCTTCGTTATGTCACGTTTGTATACGCCGTGTTCTTGGTGATTGCACAGAAACAGGGTTATGTGAAAGGAGCAGTGACACCAGAGTGTGTTTTCCTACACCTTGAACTAGGTGCTAGGAGCTAGGAGCACTGGATCTGGTTTCATTAGTCACTAACTCAGCCAACTAATGATTTTTTCACCATCCGCACCACTCACTGAGATTGTCATTTTGAACTGATATTGTCAGGCAGTGTAAGTTAGCATAACACCACCCACGTTACTTGATACTCTGATTTTGTATGCCTAGAAGGTAAAACTATCACTGCTTTCTCCTCCAGGCTCCCCCTTAGTTCAGTAACATGCCTCCCCCCGCAAACACACACATGGATTATGTGCTCCTTTTACTACAGGAGTGCCGGGAACACAGGCACCGCCATAATGGCAAGTGCACATGAGGATCCGCAGTTCCTCATCCGATTTCCTCCTCATTTTTGGATGGCTCCTTTTCAGCACACAGCTGTGGCAGAAAAGCAGCACAAAAGCTGGGGGTCTCTGAAGCACTTTTTGGCCATTTTTAGGACACGTCAAAGGGCTTGTGAACCCCAAACTCCTTTTCCATATATATCAGCTGCTAAAATGTCAGATTATTACCCATCTTCCCATGCATCTCTAGGCCATAACTGCTGCATCCCTGCTCACTACTGTGAGGATGCTGATAAGCAGCCCACTAGGTGGCATTTAAGACCTTCTCACTGGATCAAAATGTACCTGTTCCTGAAATAGGAGCCACGCTACCATGAATACCCTGTAGTGCAGCACTTTTGGGGAATCCTGGAGCACCCACACGTTGCTTTGTCAGGACAGGCACTGCACAGGGTAAGCCTGATCCTGTGCTCAGCAGAGCAAGCAGGAAATGGATCCAGATGTGTGCACCTGGCCTGGAAGGCGCCCTGACCCAAAAACAGTGTCCTAGAAACTCATCCTCAGAGATGCTGAACCCTACTGACACCTCAGCCCATTGCCTTTCCTCAGGGACAGTCCAGATGTAGGAAGGAGGCATTTTTCCAGGCACCTAATCAGGTACCTGTTTCTTTTAAACCACCACCAGTGGAGTGTTCCCATCCTCTTTCATACCATTACACTGAATTTAAATGCAAGAGCGTGAGGCTCGGGGGGCGTTGATCCTTCCTTCTGCCACAGGACTCAGTTGCACACCTGTCACTGCTCTGATCACCCCGTGTTTGCAGGCTATGGTGCAGACCCTGTGGAAGCCATGACATTTTGTCTAAAGGAATTCCCAGTCATCTCTTTTATAAGCAGAGAGTATAAACTGAAACGTTCAAAGTTATTGCACAACAATTTTTTATTTTTTTTTTTTTTAAGAAACAGTACTTCAAACATATGCAACTCAGAGATAAATTCAGAAATAGTAGATGCTACTTAGGCAATAGCAGCAAACTTCCAAATGCTCCAGTCTGTCTAAAAGCAAGAAGGATTTCTTTAATTGGGAAGGACTGCATTGGAAGAATTTAGCAGGAGATCTTATATCTCACATGGCAAAAAGTTACTGCCATTAATGAGATTTTGTCTAATGCAGATTTCAGACGGCATATTATCACTTCATTTCTCCATTACTATGGATAGGTTGTTTCTTATGAGTTCCTCCAGACACACTAAGCTTGACCTTTATTATTTTTAATTTTAAACACAAGAGTCTCTACATCAGCTCATCTGTTAGTTGATAACAGAAAATGTGGGTTTCCTAAGTAATATCACATGTTAAACCACCAGTATCTATATTCGAAATCTCTTCTAGCATTGATCCACATAAAGCTGTAGGACTTGTTTTTGATGAAGCCCGTTTACTAATTACATACAGCTTAGTTATAGTTAATCTTTCAAAATGTCCCCAGTGAGGATGTTTTGAATTTTAGGAGACATCTGGTACAAAGGGTAGAAAAATACAAGTGTAGGTTCTGCTTTAGGCTTCCCAGGATTTCACGAAGCAGTGCAGTGAGGACGGTCAAATCACTGTACATCTGGCAGGGGCCTCCTGAAGTTAGTTCAATTGCCCATCTTCAAGAGCTTTTTCAGAGCAGGCTAATTTGGACCAATCCAGACTGGCTACCCATTTGCTATCCGCATGCCCAGTGCCTTATTATCACTTGAGTGGGACCTGCCTGCCCACACGGAGACAGGCCAGGAGAGGAGACAGGCTCAGCCTGAAACTTTTCCAGCCTTAGGGTTTTATTACCTCTTTCATTCTTCCAAAAACTTCCAAGATGTGTACTTTAAATGCTGAAATTCATACCAGTGGCTGGTGAATGAACTTTTTATGGTGGTCCATATAGGTAACTCCTTCCATTGTTCCACGCACGGCACTGCTCTTTTCGCTGTTACATTTTATTTTAATCTCTGTGTTTGATCACCAAAGCAACTTTATTTGTGCATTGCTTCTCCTGTCGTCCCTCCAGGCTGGATGATTGATGCAGACAGCCGTCCCAAGTTTCGTGAACTGATAGCGGAGTTCTCAAAAATGGCCCGTGACCCTCCACGCTATCTCGTTATACAGGTACTAAAGCCAACGGTAGGAAGATGTCTGATGGGCATTTAATATGGGGCCCAAAATGATTAGTAGTGCATATGAAAACATATAATATGGCTAATTTAAGGCCAGATTTATCATTGCTTTCCAGGTCTTAACACATTCAGCTAGAACCACAAACTGAATTTCAAGACCAGTCACTGTTTTCTTAGTACTGGTCCCAGTCTAGGACCAGTAACAGTCCATACTGCAGTCCTGAGAGGAGAGCAGAGTTTGATCCTCTTCAAAACACAGATATTGTACTGCGGCAGGGACAGAGACTGCCTAAGCTCTAAGTAAATTTGGTTAAACACACAGATCCAGATTTTACACCTTGGATGTCTGACGAAATTTACTTTGTCTCTCAGAGAAGAGGATAATGAGGGTTCGAAGGGAGTTTGCAAGTCCTCTCTCACACCAACTTGTCTCACAGGGAGACGATAGGATGCACCTGCCCAGCCCTACGGACTCCAAGTTTTACCGCACCCTGATGGAGGAGGAGGACATGGAAGATATAGTGGATGCGGATGAGTATCTTGTGCCACACCAGGGCTTTTTCAACAGCCCTTCAACATCCCGGACTCCTCTCTTGAGTTCATTGGTAGGAAACTTTTCCTCCGTGGAAACACGGCAAGCAATTTTAAGAGTGATCTGCTTCTCGTAATGTCTGTATTTTCTTTCTCTCTCTTAAAAAGAGTGCTACTAGCAACAGCTCTGCTACAACCTGCATTGACAGGAACGGGGTAAGTGGGACAATCTTTAAAAAAAAGGCAATTTCTCTCATGTGGATCAACTTCTACGAAACAGTCCCTTTAATATTGATTTTCTCTACTTCCAACCTAGCAGGGGCACCCTGTGAGGGAAGACAGCTTTGTCCAGAGGTATAGCTCAGACCCAACGGGTGCTTTCTTGGAGGACAGCATAGACGACAGCTTCCTGCCGGCCCCGGGTGAGTACCTCTCCCGTGTTTCCATCCCACGGCCATTCATTCACAAGTTGTTTGGTTGTGAATATAATCATTGTCCTTCCTTTTCTGTAGAAAGGAAGCAATCCAAATGCTTCCTACCTTTTTTGCTCGGTAAATGGGAGTGGAAACATGTACACATATCCCTTTCCTAGACTTTTTCTGGCTGCTTCTGGCTGCCTCTCATTTTGGTTCCTTCACGAGCCAGGTTCCTCATGTTTGCCATGTGTGCCATCTGGCCAGGGAGTTTGCGTGTGTGATTATGCGTTTAAAGCTTTCTACCACCCCTGCACTTGGGAAAATAGCCTCTAAAAAAACATGTTTCACCCCTTACACCATTTCAGCAATATAAACAGCTTTCTGGCAGTTTCACTGCTTTCAGATGTTGATACACAGAAGGCAGCTGACGGTTTCACGTGGACTTACAGCGTAGGCGGTCCAAGAGAGAGCCAGCGAGCACCGAGGCAGCTGGTGTTGGGTTATGCATTCGTGATGCTTTGTGTCCTTAAAAAAACCCAGCCAACCCTTCCAAGAATACACCACAGCTAAAAAGGGTGAAAGACCCTGCAAAGGATGGCATTGAAGCGAAGTGTGGAGTCTGTTACTGCCAGTCCTGTATTTTCTAGGCATTTTCCTCATCTCTAAACATTTTTCTAGGGAAACAGCTTCTGGCAGCTAAGATCCCAGACTACAGTTTCAGAACAGTATCTGGGACATAGCAACCCACACGTCACTAAAATCAGCGGTAGCTATCTCGCTGTCTCGTGGTCTGAGCCATCTTTCTGCTGCTTTGCAAACCGAATTCCTGAAGGTGAGCTTCAGGGCAGCGTGTTTGGTGCCACAGAACGGCAGTCCCTGCCTTTGGCTGTCTTCTGCTCCGGGAAGTTCAGTGAGATGCTGTGCATGAAGAGCAAGTGGCAGCTGGGTTGCAACTACACCTCGAGTGATGCAAATGGCTGCATTAGTTATGTGTCTTCATTTTCATTCCTTCTTACCTTTATTTTCTTTTTATTCCAGAGTACGTAAACCAGTTGGTGCCCAAGAAAGCATCTGCCTCGGCAGTCCAGAATCCAATCTACAACAACTTCTCTCTCACAGCAAACTCAAAGGTCCCCACGGACTCCAGCTACCAGAATTCACACAGCACAGCTGTGGACAACCCCGAGTATCTCAACACCAACCAGTCTCCGCTGGCCAAGACAGTCTTTGAGAGCTCTCCTTACTGGATCCAGGCGGGCAACCACCAAATAAATCTGGACAATCCTGACTACCAGCAGGACTTCTTACCGAAGGAAACCAAACCTAACGGTATCTTGAAAGTTCCCGCAGCAGAGAACCCGGAGTACCTGAGGGTAGCAGCACCAAAAAGTGAATACATTGAAGCCTCAGCATGACCATGGAGAACTTCTTCTTGCAGCGAGGCAAGCCAGACTCTCAGTGAACCACCTGGCTGCTGCAAGAATGGACTCTTCCTCAGAGCGAACAGCAACCACAATGCATCAATCAGCACACCTTTCCTTTTCAGCATGGGGGCTGAAACTGCAAAGCCTATCTGATGGTAGTTTGGGTCTTTTCTTGCCCATTTCCATGTAATAACTGAGGCCCGTGGCCTGCACTCGGATGCGTGTTGGGATGGAGTGGGATCTTCCTGGACAGAAGAAATACAGATGCATTCCTTTCATTTTCAAATGGTAGCATGGTAAGAAGCCACTCTGGGATGAACTTGGGAACTGTACACATTGTACAGTCAAATTCCTTTCTACAGTCTGTATTTTTATAAATGTCTCTAACAGAATTTTTGGATCTTTCACAAGATCAGATGCTTGTACTGCTGGTCTGCTATGTGGTGCTCAGATCATCAGCAGAAAAAGAAGAACAATGTTATTAAATAGTTTTCCAAAACTCCTGGAACATAAAAAGTTATGCCTAAACACCGGATTTTTACAAATTGGCTCCATATACTGCTTCTTGGCACAAAGAGGAGAAGTGCATCTGGGGGACGTATGGGAGATTCTGCCTAGGGTGGTATGGAGTGGATTGCTCTGGGGAAAACCAGCACAAGGAGCAAAATGGCACAACGCATCACCTACTGACCACTACTGCTAAAAACTGACAGGAGGAACTCACCTCAAAGTCACGTGTACATTGATTTTATAGTGCTCGCTAGTTTGTTTTCTGATGGTCAAATGCAAGACTTTCTTTTCCTGATCCCTTATGCAGCTGTCAAGTTGTCAAATGCCTTTCTTCTTCAACAAAACTGTTAAAGATGTTGCTGTAACTGAAAAATGAAGTGTCAAATAATGTTTAACAGACTTTAATTAAATGTCAAGGAAATGCAAATGGTGGCAAATTGGAGCGTTCATGAGACAGACTGGAAGAACTATACTAAATTAAACTTGACTAGGGCAAGAAAACACAGGTAGCTCTAGCCAAGCACTTTTATTTCCCTTCTTAAAGGGGCTCAGAGCAGAAATCATTTTCCCTTATACATTTGGCAAAGGAAAGGGGTATATCAGTGTTATGCTTTACTCACTTCAAGGCAGAATACCGCTGTACCACCCAGCTGTACCACGCTGGGGCAGATCCTGGGGCTGGTTGCCTGTTCCTTTGGGGTTATGTATCCTGGCAATGCAGGAGGGGCAGTGAAAATGAATCAAGGAAAGGAAGACTAATCTGGAGTGATGGAAAATATTATCTTCCTCTTCTGAAACACAGGGCTGCGTACTGCTTCTTTAAAATACCCAGCATCATCTTCTGTTATCAGTGTGCAATTGGCAGACTAGGCAAGGCTGAGATTTTAGCTTCATAGTATAAATCAATTGCAGCAGCAAAAGCAGCTCCTCTTGCCAGGGGACCGTGATACAGAACTTCAGATTCTTCCATCATTAACATTTCTTACCAATGTAGGAGGAGTAAAATGCCTAAAGTGTGAATTTAGTCAGTAATTTAGACGCATCCCCCGAGCAGCTTGGCAGTGCTATTTTAATCAAACCACTAGATCAGAAAGCAAACACACATTTGGTGATTTTGGTACAAAGATCCCTAAGTAGTTGAATGTTGGGAACTTGCTGGAGGTAGCGTAAGCAGCTGAGTTGCAGAGGATATGCAGTCTATATTATAGCAAGAAATAGTCAAATTTATGCCGCCACTGTGTTTTGAATATATCAGTATGTGTTTCAGTTTAAGTATTGCATCTGGAATCCATGATCAAGCAGCAAATCCTCAGAACATTGTTTTTACAGATTTATTGAGGAATGAAGGAGAACAACGGTCATGTGAAATGACCCCTTTTATAAGTAACACGGTGTAAAATGCATTAGCAGCTTGTGTGTGTGCTGTAGCTCATCAGCCATGCTGCAGTCAAGGGTAGAGCAGTATATTGGGTCAAAATCCAAAGACTGTCCTGTTTGGTACGTCTGTGTCACCATGACCAAGTCCCAGGCACAACGGTATGGAGGATGCAATGTTTGACTTTGACTATTACTGGCTTGTATTTAAAATGCTAACCAAAATTCAGTTCCCACGTCCAATTAGTGGCAGATTTCTCCTTGCATTCCTGAGAGCAGATTTGTTGTGTTGCTCTCACAAGCGTGCAACATGTGCGCACAGGCAGCGCTGCTTTTCTCCACCCACCGCCCCGGGAGGAATGTACATAAACCCAAAAAAAGATCTTGACAGAAATCACAGATAATTTTCAATTTGCTAAATCTGTTATGTCTCCAAGCAGAACACTAGAAAATCACACAGTGCACGTTCTCCTGCCGAATCTTTCCGATGCTACTGCACAAAAGAATTTATTGATGTTTTGTTTTAATGTTAGCTAAAACAAGCCACTAAGAAGTAGCAATATGTATCACCAGCATTATGTAGCATGAAAATTATTTAGTAGAGGTTAATATGCTTGCCTGTAATGATTTATGAGGGATTCAGTAGTGACTCATTGCTGGAAACAGGGACGTTCATCTAAAAATTAAGCAATGTAAATTCGAAAGAGCCTCACTTTTTTAATGTATTGTTTTTGATGAGAAAAGTGGGAAAGAGGGGGTAGGACCACAAAGTCTCGATACAAATGTACAGATTCCATATTGGTGGGATTAGCTGTAATGTAAAGTAGTTTTGGTAAACAGGCACCCTGTAAGCCATGATTTGTAAATTGGCAGCTCAAAATAGCCGGCAAAAAAATAAAAACTGGGCAGTATCCTGTAGTCCATGGGCAGTGCCTGCAGGGGCAGATACGGTGGCAGTGGGAGCGGATGGGACCACATAGCTGCATGGCTGTCACTGGAGGCACGGGTGCTACACGGGGTGATGCTCGTAGGGTAACAGACATTAGCAACGTACCACATGATTTCCACTGAGGTGAAAAAAAAAAAATAAAAAATCAATAAGCAGTTGATATGGTCTGGTTTTCCCACTGCAGCTCACTGCCCATGTAACAGCAAGGAGCCCCGTGCAGATCATAGGCTGTCATAAAGGCGAACACAATTAGGCAGCATTTCACGGGACCTTGCTGATGCAGGGATGCGTGGAGTTTAGGATACTGAATGGGACATGGAAAGTTGGGGTTTTTTTACAAATATTAGAAAAAATAAGTGCAGTGCAGCTTGAGAGCTTACATAAATCAGCAAAAATAACTTGAAAGTTCTGCTGTCTCTCAGGAGGTGTGAGTAGAAAATGCTGATTTTTAAAATACAACTGAATAGGGAAATGTAGCACAGCCACTTTTAAAGGTTAACAGAGTCTTACCAATTGAGAAAATAAAAATTTCCCTTTTTACTATCTTTCTCATGGAAGGCAAAATAAAACCACTCACAAGTTAGTGCTTAGCGTCTCTTAATCATAAAGCAGCAGTTAATATGGAACTGCTTTTGCAATAATAATTTAAGACTTTTAATAAGTGCTAAGTATATGAAAATATAAGTTAAGTCAAGAGTCTTCATCTTACTTTGATGTTTTCCAGTGATGTGTGTACAGTGTCAGCTCACTTGACTTCATTTGGGCCTTGGGTTGTTTTCTTCTGCTGCAAAGGGAGTTGGCTTGGGAAATTTCCTTCATGTTGCAATTGGTCTTCATCAGGTAAATTCATCCGAGAGGACGGGGGCTTGCTTTCGCTTCCAGCTGGCAGGTGACAGTGTGGCGAGTTTTGGTGGCTTCTGGAACACCTGACGGTGATGCCCTGTCCCACCAGCGTCACCGTCAGGTGGCCATGTGAAGCCCTGGCGTTAGAAAGTACAGTCCTGTGGTTTATTTGAAAGGAAGGGGCTTGTGTAGGGAGAGTAATGCCAGGGACGGGGCACAGCCGGCCAGTCCATACCTGAGACAGCTGCCGCATTTGCCCCGGGACATCACTGAGGCCACTGACTGTTCTTGCAGGTACAGGTGGGAATGGACACACAGCTCCTGTCCCTGCTCCCAGCTTGAAGCAAAGCCCTCTGTAGAGATTACTCGTTCGAAGAGCAGTGTACTACAGGGTGAATCTCTTCCCTGGCAGATGCAGCTAGGGCTACAATAATGTCACTGGACCCCAAACAGTTTAAAGTGCATCACAAGGTGCTTGGGGTGTCCTCAGTCTGTCTGGGTGTGCTCCAGGGTGCCAAGGAGAAACTTTGCATTTCCAGACAAGCACTCATTTTTCAGATTCAGAGTTCAACATCATCTTTTAGTACCATGCTGCCTCTCCAAATGAGCGGTTACGGTACTCTGGCTTTTGTTTCCCCCTGCATTTCTCTGTGAGAAAAGAACTGAATCAGTACAAAGTATGAAAATGTACCTGTGTCCTCTTTACTGATGGAAACCGTGTGTATACTCATGAAATGTCAAACTGTGCATAACACTTAGCAAGAATGCTTTGTAATGTTTTATCACCACTGGTTCAAATTTTTGTATTGGGATCCCATTTTCTAGCATTCTTTTTGTAAGTGTTCTGTCTTTGTTCTGACATACAACTTTTAAGGAGCCTTTTTAAAATAATAAAAAAAAAAATAGAAAAAAATTTATACGAAAGAAAAACACGACACCCTCAAGTAGCTTCTCAAATGGGCTGCATTAGGACCAAAGATTTAATGTCTTGTTTTCTTGCTTTAAAGGAATAGGGTATTGATCACCACTTCCACAGCCTCTCATTACAGGGAAAAGCTACAGATCTCCGCTCTTCATTGGGGCTGGGCCAGACCTCCACTGAGCGGGGAGGGCTTGACAGGAGGGTGAGGCCTGTCTGTAGAAAACCAAATCAAATATCAGGACCAGGTATCACTTCAGGGCCAGACCTACAACCTCTACTCCATTTCAATTCATTTTCTACTGAACACAACAGCTAAACAGGGTCACAGTCAAGAAAAAAAGAAACCAATACATGACGTTTTGGCTCAGTATCAGGAAAAAATACAATGATGTG